ACCCGCTTCTCCTGTAGGCTGATTTCTCGTGCTACCATGCTCCCCCTGATCATGTTATCCTCCAAGAACACAGCGTGTCTTGTTTCTACAATCTTCGTATGTCTGTCAGGACAATAGAAGCGATATCCTTTCGATCTTTCTGGATAGCCAATAAAAAGGTAGCTGACTGTCTTGGAGTCTAACTTTCCTATGTTTGGGTTAAACACTTTTGCCTCAGCTGGACAGCCCCACACACGCAAATGGTTAAGTGAGGGTTCCCTTCCTGTCCATAATTCATACGGTGTTTTAGGCACCGATTTACTTGGTACTCGATTAAGTATGTGAATGGCGGTTTTCAGTGCCTCCATCCATAAACTAATCGGTAATGTGGAGTAACTCATCATGCTTCTTACCATATCCATTAAGGTACGGTTACGTCTTTCAGCCACTCCATTCTGCTGAGGCTCCCCCGGTGTGGAGTACTGAGCAACTATGCCATTTTCCTGTAGGAACCTTACAAATGGTCCAGGAATTTGACCATATGGGGTATGTCGCCCATAGTACTCTCCACCTCGGTCTGATCGTACTATCTTGATTTTTTTATTGTGCTGATTTTTAACTTCAGCTTTAAACATTTTGAATTTATCCAATGCTTTCGATCTTTCTTTAATTGAATAAATGTTGCCATAACGAGAGTAGTCGTCTGTGAATGTTATAAACGAGTCATAACCATCCACACTTTTCACAGGAAAAGGACCACATATATCTGTGTGGATTATTTCTAAAATTCCTATGCTTCGTTTGGCATCTTTCTTAATTTTCTTGACATACTTTCCTTTGATGCAATCAATACATTGCTCTAAATCTGAAAATTCTAAGTGCGGGAGAATTGATTCCTTAACCAATCGTTCCATTCTCCCCCTCGAAATATGGCCTAAGCGACAATGCTATAATTTCGAAGAGACAGTATCAATTTTCTTCCGCTGCTTAGTTACATCCGCAGATGGGGAATCATTCACATTCTTATCACATACATTGTTCGCATTCTCAGCAAGAGATAATAAATAAAGCTTGTCTTGTCGGAAGGCAAGACCAATACATTTATTATTAACCAGTATCTTACACTTGTCATCACCAAAATGGCAATCAATTCCATTATCATCAAGTTTCGAAACACTTATCAAATTTCTACGCAAAGAGGGAACATAAAGTACTTCTTTAAGTCTAAGTACAAAACCATTATTCAATTCTAAAGAAAAAACTCCAATGGCTTCAACATTGGCTTGCACTCCATTTGCAACTTTAATCGTTCTTTCTCCTCTTTGCAAGGTTCTCATCCCACTTAACCCCTGTAAAGAATTTGCAACATGAGTAGTTGCTCCTGAATCAACCCACCAAGTGGATTTGTCATAACATAAATACAGGGATTCATCTACAAATGTAATAAATTCATCACCTTTCTTTAGCAGAGATTTCAGGAAGTCTGGACAATCCCTCTTGTAGTGTCCCTTCTTGAAGCAGTGCTTGCACTGATCTTTTTCAGCTCCACCATACTGCTGATTCTCAGAATCCTGGGGTTTCTTTCCCTGTGAACTGGAGGAAGAGGTCTTATCCCACTTAGGTTTCCCTTGTGGTTTAGAATTCTTGCCATTAAAGTTCTTTCTTTTGTTGTCCTTCACAAAATGAGCAGATTCACCTTATGAGGACTTTATCCTCTCCTCTTCTTGAGCACACATTGAGATGAGTCTTTCTATGCCCCATCTTTCAGGCTACATATTGTAGTTCACAATGATGGTGTCATATTCTTTCGGCAAAGAAGCAAAAATCAAATGAATCAGGAAATCCTCCTCCTTCAAATTCATTTCTTTTAGCATAGATGTTGTAGTATTCATCTTCAAAATGTGCTCTCTTATGCTACCACCTGTGAATTTCTCATTCACAAGCTTCTTAATCAGTGAACTTGCTGTGGCCTTGGTAGACCCAGTAAACTGACTCTTGATTTTCTCAAGATATTCTTTGGCAGTAGCACATTCAGGGATTGAGCCCCTTATTTGTTCTTCTATGGTGGCTTTGGCTACCAACAGGCACTTGCGGTTGAAGAGAGTCCATTGCTTATGTTCAAGGTCATATTTCATTCTTATTTCAGCATGATCACACTTTCGAGCAGCGAAATCAGCGTCAGTTTCATTGTCACCTCTCACCGGGTCCTCTAGCTCAGTAGGACACGGTGAGGTGATGGCAAAATCGACCTCTCCCAACGCAAGTTCCAATTCATACTTCTCCCGCCACACACGGTGATTGGTTCCGTTGAGTGTCGGGATGTTGGCAATGTTCACAATGCATTTGCCTCCTGAAATCACACCAGAGTAAGTAAGAAACATTTATACATAAAATTCCATGCTTTAACTCAACGTTGGTCAAATTAAAACTTATAATTCATCCATGCAAACATTTTACATCACCGTTGGGCAGAAGTAAAATTAATGCACAATTTCTCATGGATCAAAAATTATAATATTGTTATTAACAACGTTGGTCAGAAAATAACAATATCATAATCGCATCAAAATTATCAGAAATTCATTTCTCTTAAAATTAAATTATCCCGTTGGTTCAAATTTAATCAAAGAGAACAATAATTATCATGCACAGCGGAAACATTACTAATCTTTTCATATTATTATTTTCCAGAAGCACTAAAAAATTTATTGCTTTCTGAGCAAAATATCGTTGGATAAAATTTGCACAGAAAATTGTATCAAAAACATTCAAATTCATCAAAATATGCATTTAAAATTGCTCCTGGAAAATAATAAGAAAAATTTTCTTCTTCTTCTTTCATTTTCAGCCCAGCGCGGCCCAAGACGCGCTGAAACCGGCTCGGCCCGGCTTGCCTCGCGCGCACAGGCCGCACCCAGGCCGCAACCTGGGCCTGGGCCGGCAAAGCGCCGCGCGCGCTCGCGCCCGCCTAGGCCGGCGAGTTGGCCCAGCGAATCTCGGCCGTTCGTCTCGATCCGACGGCCGAGCGGCCGTTTCGCGCGGATCAAAAGCCTCGCCGCGGCCGGCACCGTGGAAACCCTAGCCATTCGGCCCTTCCTTTTCTCTCTCTTCTTCGCCGCTCTCTCTCATCTCTTTTCAGCCGCAGCAGCGAGCCGCAACCGAGAGCGAAAAACGACGAGCGAGCGGTCCTTTGCGCCGTCGCCGGCCCCCTCGCCGGCGCGCGTGCTCCCCAACGGGTGAGCACGCCGCCGTCGAGCGGCCTGGCCGCGGCGCTTCCTTGGCCGAGCCCGGCGAGCCCGCGCCCCCGGCTCGGTTTCTTCTCCCGCGCCGGCGAAAAAACCGGTTCGGCTCTTCTTCTTCCGCGCCGGTGAAAGTTCATCCGACGCACCCTAACCCTACCCCTACTTTCCCCTTTCTTTCTTTGAGTTGTTCTTTTCAGGTTTATCCGAATGGGGAAAAACTAGGGTTAGGTTTAGGGTTTGTTCTTGCCGATTCGGGTTAGGGTTTGTTCTTGCCGATTCGTGTTAGGGTTTGTTCTTGCCGATTCGTTTTCTTTGCTTTTTATTTCTTTCTTTTCGTTCATCCTAATGGAAAAACTAGGATTAGGGTTAGGGTTCGATTTTCTATCTTCTTTCCCCGATCCGCATCAGATCGGTCGGATTCACTTCCCAGATCTGATTTCTTCTCGAACCTCGGCTCCAATACCATTGTTATGTTTCATTTTAGGTGTATTCATCAGATCGGGATACTTAACATAGTAGTAATAGATGTTCGGGATCACAGAGAGACAGAGAGGAAAGGGTGATAGGTTGCAAACCGTCAAATGCCATAGTTGTCGAAGCTCCGGCCGGGGTTTCGTTGACGGACGCCATCTGCGCGCCGGCAGCGACGGTCGGTGGAGAGGGAGTCGGCGCTGTGACGTCCTCGGTGGCGGTGTGCGCGTCGGGTGGCGTTGCCGGCGTCGGTGGTGCTTCCCGTCGCTGGCAACGCCCCTTCTCAAGATCGGGTCTAGGGATAGGATATCGGTGGGGTGACTGGCGGCGCGGCGAACCTCGTCCTGCGAGCCCCGGCCCCCACCTTTCCTTTATAGCGCTGTGCGACGGGGGCCCACCAACCATGTAGGGTTGGGCGCCCCCGATCAGGGCGCGAGGACAAGGCCCAGTGGTGGGAGATCAATCCTAACATCGGGAAGATGAAAAGCTTGCGTTGTTGAGAGTATGGGAGGTGAGCACACCAATAGCTTGGGCATTGAAGCCGGCCAGGCCCAAAAGAGAAACGAACTTCAATTTCGAGTGGTTGTGCCAGCCTATCCCGCGAGGCCATCCAGGCTACCAAACATGCGTATCTGCCTGGCCTAGTGTTTGTGCAGGAAAACAAACAGGCCCTATCTAGTTAGGCCTTCCACAGTGTGCAGTGGAGCTTAAGTTGTTCCTCAAAGAGAAAGAGAGAGTTGCATCACTCCAACCACCACAGCCACCTATGCCTATGCTAAAATAATTCGGCCGGTGCAACTACTTGTGCTCTGGTGCTATCTTCGTTAAAAAAATGTTTTCTACAGATAGCTGAGTCCCAACTACCACTCAACCGAGGGACGAGAAGCATCCAGGTACTTTACTTTTTTTAATATATATCAGTTGGGCCTCTAGCAATGCCGCATCGTCCACACCCTGTGACGTTTGAAGTGTGATGCTAAAATCTTCTCTGTGGGGCTCAATTATTTTTTGGTATGACTCCATGCCCTTGGGGGGGCTTATGACCGGAGGTAGAACCACGAGCACTAGGAACGTATGGAGGGAAACTTAAGCGAAATCATTTCCAAGAATTAGTAGATTGATACATTCAATGAGAAAAAAAAAAGACAGCCTACAAGGATGCATTTGATAGATGTAATTACGAACTAAATCCTGAACACAATGCACGCTGGTGATGCAGTATAACATCAACGTATGCCTCTACAGCTGGTTTCGCTAGGCATACAGATACACAAACACAAGATCGACGATTGGTGTCATGGTAGCTAGCTAAGATATGGTGCGGCCGCCGTCGATGCAGATGACCTGGCCGGTCATGTAGGACGCCGTGGGCATGCAGAGGAAGGCAACCATGGACGCCACCTCCTCCGGCTCGGCGATCCTCCCCATCGGCAGCCGTGCCATTTCATTCTTCACTAGCTCAGGGTCTATTGTCATCTGCTCAGTCATTAGTACTGAATTAATAATCGTGACTATATTTATGAAATTGTAGCTTTCAGCTTAGTGGGTACGATGGAAGAGAGCTTACATCGGTGCTGATTTCAGTCTTGACGCCGCCCGGCGCGACGCAGTTGACGCGGATGCCGTCGCCGGCCCACTCGGTGGCGAGGCTCCGCGTGAGCTGGTTCAAGGCGCCCTTGGTCATGGAGTAGACTGCCAGCGCCGGGAGCCCGATGAAGCCAGCGATTGAGGAGACGTGCACGACGCTTCCCCGCCGGCGACGGAGGCACCGAGGAGCAGCGGTGCGCGAGCTGGCTGAGGTGGAAGCACGACTCCAGGTTGGTCGCCATGATCCGCGCGTAGTCCTCGCCGGTGGACTCCGCCGCCGGCTTGAACAGCGTCTGCCCCGCGTTGTTGACGAGCACGTCAAGCTTGCCGCCGAACGTGGCCCCGACGGTGGCCATGAGCTCCTCGCGGTCGGCGCGGACGGACACGTCGCAGACGGAGATGGTGACCTGCAGCCCCATCTCCTCCCACCGCCGGCGGCACTCCTGCAGCTCCGCCGCGTTGCGTGAGCACGTGTGCACACGCGCGCCGAACCCCGCCAGCTCCTCCACGATCGCGTGCCTGCCACATAGGTCCAAGCATGTTATTGCACGTGCACTAATTGACACGAACGACGTTGTAGATCACACTGTGAGGTGGTCACATAGCGCACCCGATGCCCTTGCTGCCGCCGGTTACGAGCGCCGTCGCGCCGGCGAGGCTCCACCGCTCCTCCCTGCTCCTGCCGCCGGACACCATCTTACTTCTGCTCCTCCCTGCTCTTACCGCCGGTGTTGCTAGGGCTACCCTCCAAATGGAATGGATGATAGAAGATGCTTACTCCTCAACGGTGCACCAAGTACTTATATATACTGGGAGTCGAGCCAGGAGCTCAATTTCGCGTGCACTGGATGAACCTCTTCAGACAACTAGCGAACGTGTCTGTACAATGCAACGTATATAACCCAATACGTATATCGGACTCCGTATCATCGATAAACGCGAGTTGTTTTAACTCGTATGAGGATGGTAGGCAATGAGTTTGGGTGAGACAAGCAGCATGTTCATTTCGGCTGAAACGATCATAGATTATAAGCCATAAGTACTGCTGGCTGGTTTGGTGTGAGAAAAATACTGTTTCAACTTATAATCCACGATCATATAAGTCGAAACGAACAGGCTGATGATATGGAGGGCGCGACTAAATACGTCTTGAAATCGGACTTTGTTTGATTATTGCTAGACCTGAGCTGTTCTAACTTCTATAGTCACGGTAATTAGTTCGGGTCGCATACGAGAAACGGAGGGTGTGAGTGCGGTTTTGGAAGTAAAAGTAGCATGACGGACAAAACTTTGTACAGTTTTTTTTTTTTTAATTCAAACGGCAAAGCGCCAGCCTTTATATTACCATATAGACCACAACAGTTTAAGCATTGGATACATCGTTATCAACACCGAAACAGAAAAGAACTCCAAGGTAAACCACCAGGATGCCGGCTCCTCCAACTCTTACAAAGACAACTAGAATAACATACCCCATAGACAGATTCACCCACTTCTTCTCCCCCATAAGCCTGTTCCAGCTTTGCGCCATCCACCATGGACAAGTTCCTCCGGTCGTTCCCAGATTGAAAGAGGTACCTCTCCCACTTGTTTACTTGGTTCAACCAGTAATCCTGAGAGGTCTTGAGGAGAGAGATTTCATAAACTCCCCTTGCATCTCCTTTGAGCAAAGAAGAAACCAGCTCTGAATCATCGTTGTTACCTTCTGTAATAGACAATGACCATTTCTCCGCCTCATATCCTGAAAGCTAGCTAGCATAGACAGTTTCTCAGCTTCCAAAGCCCCCACAGGGCAGCAGAATAAGAAATATTAGCTACAAGAAATTTCTTGTTACATAGTCACATGGTTCCTATAGAAACAAAATCTGAGCCTGCATCTCTGTCTAGCACCTCAGAAATATCACTCCAAAGCTGTGTCTAGCTACCACACAATCCAAGAGAAGATATATAAGAATAAAATTTTGGCTCTTTAATATTTGGTATAGATATAGATTAAACACCTCGTCCGGCCACACTCTCTCCCTCTCCATATACAAAGGATAAAAATTGTGCTAGTCATCGCTGCCTTTGTGATTAAACAATGACACGACCTGCGTTAGTCATCGCTACCGCCGGCCGGATTTGGACAGATACGGAGCACCGGAAGACATCGCTGCCCAGCTGCCCTGCCGGCCGTTGTGTTGGACTACTAATTTATTCCATGTGACCGGCCACAACTGCATGTTGTCTAATTCTCATACTAGAGGACAAAATGCAATTGAATTTAAAGATTCTACTATCATTTAAATCTGAGATGTGGTACCATTGTTTTAATTTGCTGACCTAAGCCCAAACTAATAATGCGTATAACTGTACATATACCAAGGAAGATCACAATTGTCATATCCATGTGGGGTTTATAAAGGCCGTGTTTAGTTGCCCAGAATTTGCGCCGCCCGAAATACTGTAGCAACACTGTAGCAACAGTGTCGTTTTGTTTTTATTTGGTAATAATTGCCTAATCGTTGATTAATTAAGCTCAAAACGTTTGTATCATAAAGTACAACCAAACTGTGTAATTAATTTTTGATTTCGTCAACATTTAATATTCCATGCATGTGTCCAAAGATTTGATGTGATGTGATGTGATGGAAAATCTTACACTGTGCAAATTTTGAAGATGCAAAATTGGTGCAACTAAACAAGGCCAAAATGTTACAAAAAGGGTCTTTGTTCGTTATATATGTAGTAGGTATATTCACCCATTTTATGCATGTCTTGGTTCTGTACGAGTTAAAGACAGGAAAGGCCGGCGCATGCATCTAGATATTGTTCATTGCTGACATCAGAGAGAGACAGCCGAAATTCACTGAAATCGTTCCTCTTGGCCATGCGAGGTAAAAGCTAATACGAGCTTTTAATCTCAGCCATTTTTGTTCCCACAAACACTGTTGGCTTTCCAATGGCAGCAGCAGATTTAGGGCCTGATTAGCATGGCTCCAACTCCAGATAAAGCAGCTCCACTGCAGAAATCCAGGTGGAACTGTCTCTGAGCGGAGTTGGAGCTGTCTGTATGGGGTGTTTGGCTAGAAAGGTACTCTCAGCTCCAAAATGGTGTTTTATCAGTGTGGATTGCCCACTTTACCCTTGGTTGACATGAGTGTACTTCAATGATGCGCCCAGCACCAAAACAAGCATGTGAATTAAATTAAAGTACCAACATATTACAACATAATCATGTCCAATCAAATAATCCGAGATACAAGTCAATAGTTTGAAAATATGATTACATTAATTCCAAGCTAATGCGACGGATGTAGCCATACTATCACGAAATGAGTCCATAGTCACAAAGCTTGATTCCGAAGTCGATCCATCAGAGACATGTTGAGACACAACATATTTGTTGTACCTTTCCGGGATAGTCGGCACATAGTTCGAATCTCGATCGAAATTAGCAAAGTCCACATCCCCACTAGCATGCTCACGTATGAAATTGTAGAGAACCATGAAAGCAGCTACAACCTTCTTTTGTGTGAGCATGGAATAGGGAGGCATCTTATAAAGGATTTGCCACTTCATCCTTAATACTCCAACTGAACGTTCAACAACATTACGAATAGATGAATGAATCCGATTGAACTTCTCTTTTGGAGTATTTGGTTCCATACCTCGATGCCACTAAGGTAAATGATACCTTTCACCCTTGTATGGAGCTAGGTAACCTGGACGATTAGGATCACCCGCGTCCACAACATAGTACTTGTCTGCACGTATGAAAAAATAGCATAAGAATTTGAAGTACAAATTGAGCATGCAAAATGTTTGTAATGTTTGTACCTTGTCGAGGATGTGGGAAGACTTGCACATCCACTTCCATTGCATGGTACAGTACACTAGTGTCATGCAAAGCTCCCGGTACATATGTGAATCGCATATCAAAATCACAAGTGGCAAGCACATTCTGAGTAGGAATTCCTGTCTTACCAATGAACCTCACTTGTTCTTCAGGTGAAAGAGACACGAATATGAGTTCCATCTAGTGCTCCTATGCAATCCCTAAAGTGTGGATATGCTCTTTTGTCATTCCTAATTCTTTTGTGAACTGTCCAAAAATTAGGATCAGTAGGTCTCAAATAATCTTGAGCCATTGCAACCACACAATCAAGAACTTCATGGAATTTCCTACTAAATGGTTTCACCAGAATGCTTGAACCTATTTTGCCCTCTTCTATTTGACTCACATCCACCACATATAAATAGAAAAATTCCAAGCATTTCATAGCTATTCATGTGTTTCGACGGTTTCAAACCATAACTATCAACCAACACATCATGAAGATCCAAAAAGATATCCTTGTTCATCTGAAGCATTGTGTGGCATTCCCCTGGAGTGTTTAGGGTCTCAGTCACCCATCCCAGAGGAGTGGAGGTGCCAGGGAAGGAGGCACTGTGGAAGGAGGGGAGGGTGGTGAGGTAATGGAGGCGTGGTGGATGCGGCGACCGCGCGGGTGAGGGCGAGCAAGGGGCGATGGCAACCACGTGGGTGAGGGCGAGCGCGGGGGTTGCAGCGTCGAGTGGGAGAGTGATGGCCTGAGTCAGGGATGGCGCTGGATAGGGTCGAGTCGGGGGCGGTCAGAAACAAGAGAAATAATGGTTCGCTAGGTTGGAGTGTGTAATCGATGGTAAAGGCAGGTAATTTCCTTGGAACTCCATGCCTAGATCTATTTCAGAGGGTTCTAGAGTTGGAAAAGAGGTGCTCCAAGAGAATGAACTAGAGCTCCAATAACTCCATGGAGTTCGGCTGCTCCAACTTTTTTTGGAGTTGGGGTGTTTGGCTAGCTATAGCCAGCTCTAGCCTAGAGTTTGGCTCTAGAGCCATGCCAAACAACCCCTTAGTCAGCAACGACTTCAAAGGGTGGCATCGCGGGCAACAACAGCATGTATGGCAGCACAGGAGGCGGCAGCAGCATAGGCGATCGGTTACCAGGTATTTTATTATTTTGTTAATTGATTATCACCATCGGTTTGTAACCAATGGCGCACTAGTATAGACAACATTTCTACTAGTGGTACATTTTGAATTTGTACTGGCGTTTTTATGAACCGCAATGTGAAAGGTTAGTGAAAATCAACATATTTCACTAGCATTACTTATGAAGCGCATGTGTAAGTATTTACACTAATGGCTTTCTGAAGGATATTGCTGGTGTAAATCGATATGGAATGGCCACATGCTTACACAAACTGCCGGTATAAATCATTTTCCAATATTTACAAATTAGGTAAAAAAATAACAAATATTTTCCATTCGAGAGAGGTCCAATATGAGAAAATGGGTTGAATGAGTTGCCCCAAATAAGGACTCGGTTTTGTTTTATATGGCCGGGAACAACCCCCAACGTGTCTTGTACATCAAGTAAGGATTACAACAGAGGATATGATCTATCAATCGAAGCAGTGGTAGGACGTGGGGCTCTGGCTTGGATTAGATTGGAGAATGAGCACATAGGAAGGAAAAGAGGTTGCCAAAGGTATTGGTGTGCTCCAATAGCTTGGGTCAAGGTGGAAAAAGTGGGAGTTGGCCGATGAGCTGCAGCTCTGAAGATGAGCCATGTCGTGGTGACTGTGGCGCATCTATGCCACCCCACACCATGCCACTTCATGGTAGTCCGATGAGTGGCGAATGACGTAGGCAAGCGCATATGACCGTGACG